GGTTTCTTTGTAGTCTTGGCTGGGTCAGAAATTATTTGCATGACCTAGAATAAGTCATTTTACTTTTCTGGACCGCTTATTCCCTACTCTTCACTACCAGTTCTAAACATGGCTACGTGGAGAGATGAGAGTCAGATTCGACTCTTAGAGTTCTTGTGAGTTTCTTTTACATATATCAAAAAACTTCTTGCAAAGGCTAGCAAATCTCTCTATTTCAGTTTAAAAGTATTTAAATCAGAACAGAAGAAGCTGAGTATCTCATGCAAAAGATATGCTTATTTCGTCCACCACCACCATTCCCCATCAAAACCAGGCAAAAGTCATTTTAACTTCATTTCTAAAATGAAACATGATTTTAATTTGGAGATTTGGTCTACTTCTCTTTTTGTTTTTTTTTTTTTCCAATCACTGAAGCTTATTTTCTTAGAAAAAATGACATGTGTATTAAAAATATCTAAAAATCCAGAGAATCTGCAAAAGGCAAATATCAGAAACAGAAAACTTATGTCATTCACCCAGAGATAAACGCATCATGTTGGGCTCATATTTTGTTTATATTTTTCCCAAAATAATTTATATATATTATATGCAGTTAATTATTATATCTATAAATTAATATATATTATATATATTGTCAAATTATATATACTGTTATGTGACTTGACCAAAATATCCCTCATCATACATTAATATACAACAAAGTTTTAAGGCTCTTCTCAGATTCGGCCAAAATGAAATGATGAATTCCAATGCTGGTAGCTAGTGATGTGATGCAAGTGTGTGCAAAGTGATGGGGGAACCCAAGAAGGGAGCCGATTAACCCTTCTGGGAGCTGACAGTTGGCTCTTGAAGGATACCAACATTTACCAGGCATGAAAGAGCAGAAAGCATTTCCCAGATAGAAGAAACAGCCTGGGAGAACCTACTGGAAACCTTGATAGACCATGGCCTGTAGGAGACCCGCGGGGTGTGGTAAGTGGGCGGGGTTCAACAGAGGTGAGCAGAGTGGGTGAGTGGGTCCCGGGTATGAACAGCTTTGTTTGCCAGGCTGCAGAGTATGGAGTTTGTCCTGTTGACCATGGGAAACCAGGGACTTTACAGAATCCATTACTGCCTTACATGAAAGCAAGTGATACCCAGTGAGCACAACCAAAACCTGGCTTTACTCTTAAGAACGGATTCTTTAAAATCCGGGGGCTTAAAAAAACCTTCATATAGAAGCCAAATACAGTCTTGATGAATGTTTCTCAGAAAATTCTCACCACCTCTGTTGAAGCCTTTTAAGCCCCTTTTAGAGTTCTTTGGTGGCCTGCCTGAATATTGCATTCAGGTAACTCCTGCAACGGCAAACTCATCTTTAAGGAGCAACCTGCCTAGAAGTTGTTCAGGCCACTCTCACCAATAGGAAGGGATGTGTTCAGCCCTGCTGATGCCTTAGGGAGGGCTCTGATGAGAAGGAAAGCTCTGGAAGCCAGTATTGGCTGGCTTTTTGGTTTTTGTTTTTTTCTCGAACCAGTTGTTTCTTAACCAGCTCATTGGCGCCACCCAATGGGAAAGGGCTAGAATACAGCTCTGAAGCCCTGTAGGCTTTTGAAGGGCGGCTCCAACTGGGACGTCCTTCCTCGTTTCTGATCTGTTATTTCAACCATTCTTTCCCTGTAAGAATGTTAAGAGGCATCCCAATAAACAGTTTTCCTCCTGCATTTTGAGGCTGTGTGTGGTGAGGAAAGCACCGGTCCTGGCTTTTCACAGACTAACTCAGCGGCTTTGCTGAAGTCCCATATCCTCTCTCAAACTGTTCCCTCTTCTGCTCTTTTTTTTTTTTAAACTCTTCCATATTTCTAGTATCTACAGTCTTTTAGTGGCATAATTGTTTTAGTATTTACCCATTGCACTTATAATTTAAAGTGGCATCAATCTGGGTAAAGAAAAAATATCTTTGGCATTTTGAAAATTTGGGAATGATTGCAACCATCTAGAAATCATGTGTGTCGACTAATATATGTCAGCAACATCCCAATGCATATTCATAAGGACGTCTCACCTGGTGTAGTAGAAAGAGCTGGCCTTTGCGCTCAGATGGACCTGAGTTTAAATCCCACTCCTGCTGGTTTCTGTGGCACTTTGCGAAGTGACTCTCCCTCTCTGAGCCTGTTCCCTCATCAGTCCAGTGGGGATGGCAGCTCTTCCTTCACGGGTTAGGGTAAGGGTTACATGGTGTAATATCTATAGAGCCACAAGGGACATGGGGACTGATGGGGAGCGGGCCTCTGTTTCATGGAAGCAACTGCTATTTTTTAGGCTCCCCAGCTACCCATCCACCCGGAGCAAACCACTTCCGCTCTGAGGCCCGGATTCCCCTCTCGTCTCATCAAACGGGGATCAGAGTTCCTTCTCTCAGATGTACAGATGCAATGATATAAGCACCCCAGAGCACCTGCACCTCATGGGGCCCTAACAAATGCTAGTCCTTTCCAAAAGTATTGACCCATTGCAAATAATTACAGAATTAGTTATAAAGCCAAAATTGTGTTCATCCCATGATCTCTCCCTCACTCACTCTTTCTCTGTCTCTCTCAAACACACACACACACACACACACACACACACTTGGCATTCCCATCTTATTTTTCCCATCTCTGTCATCAAAAGTTAACGCAAAACACAAGAATCTTTGGAAGCTTAACAAAGGAACAGCAAATTCATTTGAAGTTTGTCATTGTTTATTTCCATTCCTCCCACCAGGTCCTGGGTCTTTATTTGAACAGTTGTGCGTTTACCTGCCTGCCCACGCCCCCATCCTCATCCTTCCCCGGACCCTCCGCTCTAGCGACAGCAACCCCAGATCCCTGGCGGGGTCCACCTCGGCTGCCCTTCCCTCCAGATGTAGCCTCTATTCTCGAGAACTTTCTCCCACCCTCATCCATCCTTACCCTCCTTTAAATTTTAGAGCCCATCTCAGTGGGTACATTATCAGAGAAGTCCTCTCAAGCCTCTTCCCCCAGCACGGAGTGAGGGCTGCCATGTTTGTGCTTCTGAAGAGATCAGAAAAGGGAATGCATGAACATTGAGTCCATGCATATGTTAATAATTTTAACCTTCCCAGGTAGGTATCACCAGTCCATTCATTGCTTAATTAAACAAACATTTATTGGACATCAATTGCCAGGCACTGGGAATCTGGCAGCGGACAGCAGACAGCCTCTTCCTCTGTGGCTCTTACGGGATCCCACATGGGATGAATCCAGGGGGCAGGGATGAAACAAATAATAGACTAGTCCAGTTGTGAAGAAGGATGCGAGGAAAGGAGGGAAGAGGAGGCTGTGCCCCATCTCGGAGTTTAGGGAAGGTGTCCTTAAAAGGGGGCATTTCAGCTAAAACCTGAAGGCTCAGGGGGAGTGAGGGCAGAAATGGGATCTAAATGTGGGTGAATTTGGTTCTACTAGGTTCGGCTCCCCTCCTCTAAGTATCTGCATTTATGTCATTGTCATTGTATTTTGGCTAGTGATCTACATCTCCTTCTCCCCCGATAGATTGTAGCTCCTTGCAAACAGCAATCTTGTCTCCCAGGCCCCTGGTACATAGTACAAGTAATAAGTATCGTAAATGGTCATTTAATTTTTCAATATATGTATCTGTATGTACTTGACTGTATTTAATAATATTATAGGGGTGCGAAAGTGCCTAGATGCTGCCATGTATGTTCTGTTGTTGCTTTAACCAACACATTGCTATGTGTTCTCTGGGTCTCTGAGCACCTGGGCACTCCCGTTGGCAAGCTCCTCTTACTCAGACATTTCCTGTTTTATAGGCTGGGGTGATCCAGGGTCAGCAAGCAAGAGGTGTAGCAACTGGCATCAGCTCTGCAGCAGGTGGAACTTGGAAGCAGCTCATTCATCTAATTAACATGACATGAAACGTGTCCTCACAAATGCTGCGTGGCACAGGGCTCATCACCAGCTTGCTATCCAGGCCATTCTGGAGGATGAAAGAGGAGCCACTACCCTGGGCCAGGCACTGGGCTAAGGGTGGGGATACAGAATGAAAGCACGTGTCATGATTGGATGAGGGTTTCTTTTTCCTGACGATAGTTCACAGTCCGGTAGGGCTAACAGACACACCCATAGTTCATGCACACACACACAGGTGCAGACCAGTTCATTGCAGGCAAGGCTCCAGGTGGGCACAGGTGGAGGCCATGGCTAACTCCACAGTGGGTGCGGTGGGAGTGTCAGACGGTCTTCCATGCAGGAGAAAGTCATCTTGCCTGAGTTGGGAACATGAGTGGCAATTAGCCAAGTAAAGAGGGCAGGATGTGGTAGGAACAGGCCACAGGCAAGGGTCTCAGCCTGTGCAGAGGTGGGGAGAAAGAGAACGGATGGCACACTAGGATCTGTAAATGCCCCCGAGAGCCAGGCAGGTGACAGAGATGGTGAAAGGCCACTTGCTTGCATGTCAGACCCATTGGTATATTCTTCATTTCCATTAAGAAATGTTCTCCCTCCTGCTTTTCTTGATACCCACTTAAGCTATCCTTCATTTTTCCATCTTTGACTGAAACTTAGGTAAAGAGAAATTGTTCCCTAAGAAAAACAACAGTCTAAATCCAATTATATCAACCAGTAAGTGATACTTGGTTCCTATTGGAGAGACAACTGAGAGTGGTGGGGACTGGGGCAAACTGGAGAGCATATTCTCCATCTGAAGAGGAAAGTCGTTCTTCAACTCCAGCAGCTTAGTGGCTCCAGATCTTGTAATATTTCAGAAAAAGTGAGAAACCTGGATTTTTGGCAAGTTAGCCAAGTTTTTAAACATAGTTTTGACTTTAAAAAAATTAAAACCAAACAGAACACATCTACATGCTGAGCCTTATTCATAGGCCATGCTTGCAACCTCTTATTTAAAGGCTCTAGAGGTCCCAAGGGTATTTTTAGAATCCTCAACAAGTCATTGCTCTGCTCTCAGTTTCTCCTAACCATCCTTCTCCCCCTGCTTTCCAGAAAGAGATGACGAGCAGGATGTGTCACTAACGCCCCATCTTACCCTTTGGAAGAAAGAGAAAAGCTGTTTCCTCCTGGAGCCCTGAGCGGGTAGGACGGAGACCTCCCTGGCTGAAATGGCGTAGCTACTCCCGGGAGCAAGCGAGGTGGAGACCAGCGGTGACTCTGACAGACATTCCCCCTTCACTCCAGGCCTTCTTGACCCTCCGAGTGCTGCTAGCCTGACCTGTGGACCTGGCCAACCATGGCTGAGAGAAGGACACCCCTCCACCCTCCGGGCTCGGAATCTTCCAGAAGGCAGCTCTGCACTTCTGTGTACGTCGAAGTGCTGCCTGGTACCTGCTGCCTAAGCTTTACTGGAATTCAGGTTTTCAGACTGAGAAACTTATTTGTACTTTTCCACTCCTCTGTCTTGTCCGCTGGCCGACTTTTCTGTAACGTGTTTTCTAAGCACCCAGTGAATTTTGGAACTCCAGATGCGCAGCAGGTTTTCCTATAACAAGCCTTCCTTTTCAGGTCTCTGCAGGCTCCCGCCCTGGTCCTGTGGTCCAACTTGTAAATGAGAGACCTGAGGCCCCACCCCGCAGCACCAACACAGTTTCCCTAGAAGGCAGTTTTATCAGGGACCACTCCACGGTGGCTCGTCTCTGCCCCAAACAGGGTCTGCACTCTTTAACAGGGAAGAGACTGCTTGCTGGCCTAAGGCTGACGATTTGCCAATTCACCCTGAATAGAATGTGTTTTTTATAACCAAACCATTCCTTGCCTCTTCCATTCAAGATATTTTTTCCTGTTTCCCAGAAGAGAGAAATAATAGGAAGTTATAAACGACCAAGAGTGATCAGCAGAAGCCGTGAGCCAGATTAGTGCAGCGTTTGTTCTTTGTGAAAGGGTAGGGAGTCGTGGCTGTCTCTGCCTAATACTAAGATTTCAGTGAGAAAAACAAAAGTACAATTGGTTATTTGGTGTATGTAGCTCAAACGCCCAGCTCATCGACTTACAACCTTCCCAGCTGGCCCTCTGAGCTTCTAAATCCAGCCGATGTTTTCTTCCTCTTCCTCCCCACTCTCCCCTCCTCTGCCCTATTATATTATGGCACAAAATTAATTTCTGCGCCTATGATTGTGCCACAGTTGCCAAGGTAACAGTGGAGCTGGAGCTAACTTCCTTCTTCCATCCGTCCCAATTTTTCTATTCCAGTAGACAGAATAATGCAGTCTGTGCTACATCCTGCCTTTTGAAACCTAAGTGAATTTTAGTTGAATGTTGCCTTTTTTGATTCATGCACGAAACTGTGGTGGCCCTGAGAGCCTGTGACCGGGGCTAATAATACTTCCGTTTGAATTTGACAAAATCGAAGTTGGTGGAGGGAAGTAGATAAGAATGTATTAGTGTGTTTTAATGTCATACCGATTAAACAATGGCTCAACGAGTCTCATTTCGTTTCCTTCTACGTAATATGTTAAAGCCGTTTGTGGCTGCCTTGGGAGCCTGGAAAGCATGAACTCTTTCTTTGTCCAAACTAAGAAAGGGCTGACTGTCTGGGCACGGTGGCACTCTGTGTTGACCTAACCCAGCAAACCGACCCTTGCTTCGTGTCTCATCAAGTCGTCTCGTGGAATCCGAATCCTGCTACCTCTCTCTATATTGTTGTGCTCTGGTCAACAACAAACAGACCCTTTTTTTGGCTTCCTAAGTAACTCTGAGAAGACAAGATAGGCAAAGATTTTTCTCAGCATCACTTTTGGCTGAAAGAATATCTGAGTGTCCTAAGGATCCAGAGAACAGAGGAATAAGAGCCCCTATTCCCGACCTATGCAATACACAGTAAGTACCACATGGAACTGTCCAGCAGTGGGACAGAGAAGTGACAGCGTGGAGCCCATGCCCTAGGAGGAACTTGGAAGCGCCTCACCATGGAAAACCACAGGAGTTTTGCATTAAAAAGTGGACTATCTTCCTGCATTTCAATAATGCCTAATCAAGTAGGATGCTGGACTCTGAAGACATTTGTTATTAATTCTTTTGAAGGTTATTTTCTATTAACTGTGCATATGGAATTTCCACTCAATTTAAAAATCCAAATTTTTTTTAAACTTCTTAGAACAATTTCATCCTGGTTATACTGCTAATTGCACTAATCAACTCTTCTAGGGTAAGTTGTGGCAAACCACTCTTATTTTTTAATTACAGAGTATTTCTAGTCCCACAGAGCTTTGTTTGGCAAATTCTAAAGAAAATCGTTACAGGCAGTTTTTATCTCTTTGGCCTAACTACATCCTAAGTACATCTCGTTGCGACTGGAGGATGGGAGCTCCTGGCGGCCCCTCAGGCATCTCCAGCTCTCTGGGTCTGACACTGATACCCCATTTCTTCCTCCTAACCTGGCTGGCTCTCCTTCATTTTCCACTATTTTTTTTTTAGTTGAGTAATACATGTATCCACTATTTTTTTTACTTTGAGAAATTTCAAAGTGGAAATTTCAAAAAGGAAAGATTACAATGAACATCCATATACCCTTGACTTCCGTGCATCAGTTGTTAACATTTTTTGGATTGTTAGCGTTTTCCATATTTTCTTTCTCTCTCTGTAAATATACATTCTTATTGCTGAATCATTTCAAAATATGTTGCAGACATCATAAAACTTTAAAATACTTTATCAACTGTCCCAAAAATGTTTATAGCTTTTTTTCTTTTGATCCAGGATCCAATTAAGAATCACACGTTGCATCTAGTTGTCATTCTCTTTAGTTAAGGGATTAGAGTTCTCCTTTTATGTATCTGGGAGGGGTGTGTGTGTGTCTTTCATGACACTGACATTATTAAGGAGTTCAGGCTGGTTTTTTGTAGAGTGTCCTACAGTTTGCAATTTTTTTTCTGATTGTTTCCTCTTTATTAGATTCAGGTTAAACATTTTTTAGCAAAAATACTACGTAATTGATGTTGTTTCTTTCCTAGTGCATCACATCAGGAAGCATATAATGTCTAGTTGTCTCTTTTCATGATATTAAGCTTGATCAGTGGGTTCAGGTGTTATCTACCTGACCTACTCATTATAAAGGTCCATAATTCATTCTAAAGCTTTGAAATTCAGTATACATACATTTTATAGAGTGTGAAGCTGTGTATATGTGCATTTCTTTCTTAATATTCTCAGAGAGGTCCAGGATCTCCAAAAGATTACAACCATTGCAGTTAGATGGTATAGCAGAGAAAAGAATTCATCTCTTCCCATTTAACAGAGGGAAGGGGAAGCAAGAAGCTTCCCTGCACAGGCAATACATGAGTATTCCGGCTAATGAGAATTTGTATGGTCCCCGTAGCCAGGGTTGAAATATATATAACTTTTTTTTTCTCCCATCCTCAGTATCCTCCCATTCAGACCCATGGTTTATTTTAGAGAGCATGCATTTTCATTGAAGGAATTGCCCAAGGGTGCAAAAATTGATTTTGGCTGTGGGTCGGGGGAATCTTAGATATTATGATGGGTCATGGCCCTCCAAAGGGCCACAGTACATATACATATGTGAAGTATATATGAGGCATTCAAATTTCATGGGGATAGAAGGATGATTGGTAATAAAATGTCTAACAAGGCTTCTTAGGAGGATGACAATGAAAAAAAAAATAGGCTGAGACATACTCATCTGGAGTCAGTTTCTACTTCCAAGGTTGTTAATTTTTACTTCGTAGGGTGTTTTTTCTGAGGGCCAAGATGAATGGAAGCAACTTTGAGAGATTTCTTAATTCATTCCTTCTGCCCTCCCAAACCATATCAGTAATATTCTAGGTGGAAAACCTATTCTCCTCTCAAAGATCTTCAGGCGCAGAAATGCTATAGCTTCCTTTGGGATAACCCACTGAACACTTTACAACATCTGAAATCCTTCCATTCTACTTGAGCCAAACTATATTGTCTGTGAGTTTCAGCTCACCTTTTCTGGTGTCCCACATTAAGAAAGATCCAAAAATGATATAGGATAAGTAAAAACATAATAAACGAGAGCTTTATTTGCATATCTAGGAAATATTTGAAGACTGTTATCGATTGTCCTTTAGCCTTCTTTCCTTTAGTGTTCTCCCATTGGCAGAATTCTCTTGGAAGTCTTGTTGTCCCATTGCTAACATTTTTGTAGCCCAACTTGAAACCTTCCCAAAGCTCTCCTTCATGTCACTGTGCGTTATGAAGTAACCAACAGTGAGCATGTAAAATGATTGCATGCTTTCTCCAGACTATATTGTGTCTTTGTTAAGTCCTGACTTGATTTGTATACCTTTATAAATTTTCTGTTATATTTGCCCACACTAAATCCTTATCTCTATTAGATTCAACCATTTTGATTTATCTTCTTGAGTTTCCTTCCTTCCTAGATTTAACACTCCTCATAAGATTATACTGTTTTGTTTTATTTAATCACCTCTTTAATTGGCAGAGCATTAAGGGACTTGGGTAGAGTTCCTTTCATATTTTTGTGGTGATTTAGGCCAGTCTGTCATTCTGGTCATTGATGGAAGCATGTCACTTCTGTGGCCTCTAATCTTATATCACTTCCACACCCCATAGATATCACATTGTGAGAAAAAGAAATATCATACGAACAGTGCAGCCATGTCTTCAAGAAATGTGTACAAAAGGCAAAATCACCCCAAGGAGTCGGATGTGTCACTTGGATAATACTGCTGTCATTTGTGCTTTGATCGTTTTGGTCCTTGATGAAAAGGTGATTCTCTCCTAGAATTAGCCAAACAAAGTGTGTTTTGGAAATAATGGTATTCTTTTTTTCCTGCCTTAAAAAATATATCAACAAAAAAACTTTTATAACAGGCAATTATTCTCTGGGTAAGTTATTAATTCTGGGTAAGACGTTTTCAATGAATAAATAAGGACTTTTGTAACTCTTAGAAGGAAGAGTCCATTTCTAATCTGACAATTACGCTGTTTTACTAGCTTTTAGTGTGCTAATTTCAAAGTTTTCCAGTGTCTTTTCTAATTGCATCAGAAAAAAAATGTTTACCCTATTTTTAGTTCCATTTGTGATTAAATTAAAGGTTTGGTTATAAGGACAGACTAACACAAGTAAATCCATTAGAAAAGCAAGATAAAACTAAAGGATATTTATGAAATCAGTTCTGTGTGAGCTTAGGAATTCAAGTGTC